TCTGCCCTTGGCATCGTAACGTTGTTCGCCCGCGTTGCTGGTCAGTGGGCAAACAGGTGGTCGGGTTTTCGTTAACTGCCGGTTCAATTTGTAGAGCGACGCGTGATGTTCATCAGCCTTCCAAATGCGCTGCTCCCAGGCCTCTCCTCTGTGGGCCTGTATTGCAACCGACAGTTCGTCCGTTATGGTGTTCAATTTTGTTTTTATTCTAGGACAGCGAGTGCGCGCCCAGAGCTTTCTCAGCGCTCTTTTATGTCTTAGCTGCACACGTATATTTAACTTCAGCTCTTCCTTTCTTCCCGAGCGAGGGACGATCGTAGAGGCCGCGTTGAGGGCCTCCTGGATGCTCGCGGTTATTCTGGTTGCAGCGGCCTCTACGTCGTCCGCTGAGTGGATCGGTGTGTGGACTGGAGGCCTCTCCTGCAGGTGTTGGTGGTAGAGCCTCCAGTCGATCTTAGTCTTACCAGCTCTGGGTGGCGAAGTCACTGCCTTAGTGCCAAGGGTTATCAGAATCGGGAGGTGCCGTGTATTTAGGTCGTACATCACTTTTACCACTATAGTACACACATGTGCGTCGGTTCCTCGGGACCTAGAACGTCATAGTTGTGGTTCTCAGCATCGTCGTATAGCTCACAACCCGGCAGGTTGATCAATCTTGACCCCCACGCCAGGTGTTTGGCGTTCAGGTCCCCGGCGATGATGGTGGGTGTCGTACCTTCCATAACCGTCCGGATGTCTGAGGAGTAGAATGGAGTCCCTGGCGGGCGGTATGCTGCAAAAATCCTTAGTTCCTCGCCCGCCGCCTCCATTTTTATGCCGATTGAACGCATCGTCTGGAAGTCTGGTAGGTCCAGCTCTTGGTGGACGATGTCTCTCCTCACCAGAATCGCTGTCCCTCTATAAGCGATCTCTTGAGGATTGACCTCGTCCCTCCTGTAGATAGTGTAGTTAGGCAACTTAAGATGCGTTGTTGGTCGTATTTTGGTTTCACCCAGCAAGATCACCTGGATGTCCTGCTGCTGAGCGACCGTGCGGAGTTCATGGATCCTTTGTTGAATCCCGTCCGGGTTCCAGTAAAGCAGACGCAGGTTACTGTCCTCCGTAATGCCTTGCCAGTAGCGTTGCCAGCGCCTTCATGACGGCAGTAATGGGATCTGTCCCGGCCCTTGTGTCAGCCAGGACTTGTGTACCGACTTCGATGGCTATGCCTACCAATCTGTGGATGGCATCAGCCGTCTCGAAGCCGGACGTTGGTGGTCTATGTTGTGAAGGCACTGGTCTCGGGGCATTTGTGGTGATCTTCTCTCTTTGGGCAGAGCGCGCTCTATATGTAGAGCGGGCTCTACTTTCTGGTAGAGCCCTCTCTGGTGCTCTACCAGTCATGGTTGTTGATGGTGGTCTTGCAATAACCTGCGCCTGCGAGGCTATCGGTCCTGTAGTTGTAGGGGTAGAGGTACTCACAGCCTGAGGAGGGGGCTGTTCAGTTTTCCTACTCCTGTTCCTCCGCCTCTTCCTTTGGGAGGGTTGCTTCTCCGTGGCGTTGTTGGCAGGAGGTTGGAGAGTCGCCCCCGGTGGTTGCCCTTTGCTCTGTGGGTTCCACCGTTTCCATTGGTGCTGTGGGAGAGGGTGGGGGGGGGGGGCTGGTTGTCTATCCTTTCCTCTGGTGACTGTGGCCCACCCATTCTCCTGAATGGTAACAGCCTTTGGGCGACTCTGGGGGATCCTCTTAGGGTTCTCCGGGAGTAGCCCAGGTAGATCGATCCATGCTTCCTGGCAATCCTCTTCAGGACTGGGCAGCGGCGATCGTTGGCCGTGTGGTTTTTTGAGCAATTAGCGCACTTTGGATCTTCCTCTCTACCCCTTGGACAAAGGCTGGCGATATGCTCCCCAGCACAGCGAACGCATTTCACTGACCTGAAGCAGTTTTTTTTTATAGAATAGGGTGACAAACGAGCACACAGTCCACCTGATGGTAAGTGGATGCTGCGGCCCATAGACATCTACATCTATCCTCCATTAAAAATCAAAATGAAGACGCGTTGTCACCCGTGAGGACTGAGATGGAATGCCTCGTTTCCAGTAAAAAGGGTCTCCGGTTCTCTACACTCACCATACGAAATACAGCAGCATTAAACTACTATTTCACGCTGGTATTCTGTGAGAGCGTGGTCCTTCCCCGGTCGAGCCGACCCATTCGTGCTACAACTATACTACTAATATAACTGCAGCATGGCTCTACCACGTATAACGCAGTTTGCGGAGGAGTCCGAAAACCTGGCAACGGTGGCATTGTGCCGGTCCCGTCTTTCTCTGCCAGGCTTCGATGACGACTTCTCTCATGTAGAAGAGCTCGTCGTACGTCGCCCTGCTCAGATGCTCCAGCTGTGCGTAGTAGAGGCGGCTGCCTCGATCTGCCTCTACGTGGTGGTATGGACTTCACATAGGTGATGGGGACGCCTTTTGCTCGGATAGCCTCCTCAATCATCTTGGTATCTGTGCCCACTGGCAAGCCCCGGATGCCCACTTTAGTGGGCTTCTCCTCTGCCGGGGTATAACAATACCACGACATAGTTGGGACTTTCTCGGAGAGCTCGACCATATATCTCTGTATGGTTCGAAACTCCTCCGGACTCTGGGGTGCGAATCTTACACCCTTCCCGAACGGACGGGCATTAGGAGGGTGGCCCAATTTCTTATTGAGCACCTCGAAATGCCTGGTCCAGTCCGGGAGGCATTCAGCAACAATCGGCGGGTATCTGGTTTTCTCCTTCTCTTTCTCAGTTCTCTGAGGCTCCTCCACCGATTGCGGTCGTGGCATTGCAGGGGCCGCAGCCATGTAAGCATAGCTCGTTGACGGCCGCTGTCCATCGTCAAGAGCTAACCCGGACGGGTTGGTAGTCTGCACCGGGGATGATCTTCCGGCTGATGCAGCGAGGGTTGCGTACGTTGTAGAGCCCCAGCTGTAGGACTCCTCACCTCCTTGCTCGTTTGGAGGGGTCCGGTGAGATAGATGGTGGCTGTTGTGGCGGTGATGGCGATTTAAGAGGTGAGGTATGGACCTTCTTCCTAGTCGTTACTTGGGCTCCTCATCATCCGATGATGCTGATGATGGTGTATCTGATGAGTCCTGAGAACCGATGCGCTGCCTCTTCTCATGGAGGGAGGCTACGGTTTCAGGAGGTATGTGCCTTCGTGGCGTCTTCATAGGCCGCTGTTGTTGGGAGGGCAGCGGTTCACGCCCAGTCGTACACTCAGGTACGATGGGCGAGAGCGCGGCCCTTGATGCGGGCTCCTTACCCGGCGACGAAGTCTTGCGGGTCGGTATTTGCGAGTAGGATGATACTACTCTCATCCTCTCAGAGTTAAAAATGTCTCGATAGGCGTTTGGCCTCTCCAATACGCCCGGGCGATCTGGTGGTTTCCTCGATTTAGGAGGAGGCTCCCCTTTATCTTTATCTGACATGTTTCCCTACCTAACAGTCAGCGGTAATCTACTAATGGCCCTATCTAAACAACCAGCCGATCGGCAACGGATGGTAATGCGCGACGCGGATGGTGGAGATGATAACGGTTGACTTTCCACACTTGGGGCACTGCCTACCCCTTTTGCAACAAAAGGGTTGGGGGAAGTGCGGTGGTGGCACTTTAAGTACGCGACTAGGCACAATAGACACGATCGTCTTAAAGTGCCAAGAATCTGCCTAGGGGCCTGTGGCCTCGACGCCTCATGGAATCAGCGGACTCAACGATCGGCGGCGTATGTCGTACGGGCGGTTGTATGTGCTCACTGCTAAACACAAACAACGCACACCTAGGAGATCCTTGATGAGATGGCCGGACATACGAGTATAGCCAGACTTACTGACAATCGCTGGACCATAAAGACAACATCATGATTAGAACCATCAGGCCAAAGAAAAAGAGGTAGATCAATCGCGCGCTGGACAGACGACATTATAAAAATAGCAGAGGTATCCACTGGATGCGAGTAGTAGAGGACAGAAAACATTGGTCATCTCTGGAGGAGGCCTTTACCCTCCGTTAATGAGGGGTTCTTGCAATCGTACACATACACCAAAAAAACTAATTCTAGGTTTTTTTTTAAATATTATCAGAATTTATTGAAACTTTTAAAATGCATTCTTATAATGGGCTAAGACAACTACTAGAAGTAAGAAGTAATTTATTGCAATTAATTAATGAATTTGCAAGTCTTATAAACCTTTTTCTATTACAAGCACATAAATATCAAAAGTAATACTTCACACTGCGACAAATAATTTTTGCATGCACACTGTTTCAAACTGTAAATCTATACTATGAAGCAAGAAATAAAAGGCTTTTTTATTTTTATTTTATTTATTTTATATATCGCTCTGTCTCATACCTGCTGGTCAATATAATATATCTCAACAATAACACGGATTATATAAGAAAATAACGGAGAATATACATAGATCAATAAGTTTTGAGATGCTCGGAATTTAAAAATGGAACGCACTCGTGTTATGTTTCTAAAAAACAAATTTATTTAAAAATAGAAATACTATGTTATTTACGTATTATAATATTCAGATTAATTAAAATACGCTTAATTCTTACTAAAATTGACGATTGAAATACCATTCAAAGTTATCTTGAATTTTGGGTAAGTTTGAACTCTTTTGTTTCTGAAGACTAAAATATATAATATTGGACTTATTTGGAGCTTGGGTAACATTAACTAGCGTTTTTAATAAGAAAATAAAATTATGCTCTATGGCCAGTCGTTTGCAGTACAATTTTTTTTATATCACTTGGGGATGCCATATACAAACTAAATGTACCAAAAAGGAAGATACAAAAACAAAAGTTTTATACATTTTTAACTGTATTTATTGACTTAAATTAATAAAATAAAATTTTTATTAAAATACTCGAGCTTTTTGGGTTTCATTTGAGATCAAAAAATATGTATGTTAAGATGACATTTCTCATTAATATTTGACTTACAAAAAATCTTACTTTCCCCACTCCATGAATAAAATTTCATCTTCTATGTATGTTATACCACCTTTCTTGGAGATTTGATGTTCTTTTACGATACTTACTATATCCGATACCTTTACTTTTAATATCTCGGCTTTTGAAGGCCACTTCCAACCTCCTAAAAAGGATTTTTGGAAAGCTGAAACCATGACAGTCGCGGTTGACAAATTTACTTTTCGTATTTGTCCTAGGAACCTGCTCCCTTCATTACTAAATATACAATAAGCATCTTTCGCCAAATCTCTAACAGAATTATTTTTTTCAGTGTTATCTTCCTTGCTGGTTAGTCCACTCTTATGTGACGTAGAGGCTGTTGAGTCACCGCTAGGTTCCACAACATATTCTTCTACAATAGGCACATCCTTATCTTCCCATAATATTTGTTCTTCCGACTCTCCAGTTGTAAAATCTCCTCGGATTGTTATGACCGGTGGCTCAACGTCTTGTTCGTGAAGCACAGATAGATTATCACCTATGTCAAGCATATATAAATCTTCAGCTAGTTCTGGAGAAGGTGGTCTGTGTATCATAGCCTCAACGACGAACTTTGCGTGTCCTCCAATGTTTTGTGACTTAAGTTCATTTCCATCACCTTCTTCACCATGCTCAACAGTATCAACGACCTCATTGTTTTCACTGTCATTTTCTGTTGATAAGACTTCTCCCTAAGGAGCAGGATCCCTTTGCTTTCTCTTTTTCTTGTTTTTTGATCCCATGGGCCTGCCACGTTTTTTAGACTGGCTGGTTTCTACTTCATTTCCTGTCTTCGTTTTGGCTGTTTTTTCGCTTTCTTTATAATAATTTTCCACTTCTTCAACCGACATACTCTTCCCTGCTACAACAGGTAATTGAAATTTCTTTCCTTTGGTTACTGTATTTAAATTCGATTGCCTCACATTTTCTATATAATTAACAAAACTTTCGCTAATAGTGTCGCTTATGTCCACAGTAGAGGTATATGCTGGAAGTTTGTTTAACACAGTATCTGGAGACAATGGATACAAACCACAACTTTTAAATCCTGCTCGTAGATTTTCAGATGAATTGGAATTTCCATTTTGTATTATTAACTAACTGGGCAAATAATGACTTCGGAAGAGCCAACACTTTCTTGCCTCTGCAGGTTTGACGATAATCATTAAGTACTTTTCTCCATGCCGATTTTACTGCCGAAAAATAGCCTACATCAAGGGGTTGAAGAAGATGTGTCGAGTTAGGGATTAAACAAATGAACGAAATATTATTTTCAGCACATAAGCTCAGTGCTTTAGGAGATATGTGCGCGCTTAAATTATCACACATTAATATTTTTTTACCCTCATCTTTTTTCACGAATGGAATGAATTGGTTTTCTAACCAATCTTCAAAAATTATTGTCTCCATCCATCCTGATTTTGAGACTGCCATTCTGGAACCTTCAGGGGCTTGATATAGCCAATCAGACCAAAGTTTTACCCTTTAAAAATAAAAATTGGTAGAGCTCACCTGCTGCATTACCACAGACGACTATGGTAAAACACGATTTAGAGCTGTTTTTTGTTACATCAGGGTGCTTGCAATCTCTACGAAATAGCAATTTCTTTTTTCCCGGGATCGTCATGAAACCCTGACTCGTCCATGTTATACAAATTTGGAGGAGTCACTCTCCTTGGAAAAATTATTAAAAAATTGTTCAACTTTCTCACGATTAACTTGAGCTCTTTTTCTCGGGATATTATGAGATAGTTTCTCCTTCAGTAAAGGGTTTCTTTCTAAAAATAATGTTCCCCATTCATAACCAGGCATATTGTCTCGGAATTGCGGCACAATCCTGTTGTTTTTATTTAGGTGATCTCTGACGATAATCCTTAAGTCTAACATACTCAATGATAAGCCCATATCACTCAACAGTAACAAATGATTCTGAAAGTTCTCCTCCCCTTCTGCGGTAAATGTTATAGGTCTTCCGATATTTTTGATATGTTTCTTATTTAATTTATAATATAATGTTACATGTGGTATATTATAATGTTTGGAAGCATCCATCCTAGACATGGCACCTGACCGAATTTTATTAAGTGCCTCTTCTAAAATTTCTGGAGTATAATTGCTTTTAGTTCCATATTTTCTAACACCAGGCTTAATTTTAAAGGATTTTCGCGGCATTGTACCTTTAAATAAAAAACAAATATGTTCATGTTTTTTAACATTTGGTAGCAACACATTCAAAGTTACCCCATCTAATAAAATACTACCAGGGTAACATTGAATGGTTCAAAGTTACCCAAAAATTTGTTATTTTTTTCTGTATCAAATGATTATCAAATATATGGGTAAAAGGGTTAGTAAATTATATGTTAATTGACAAAAAGATAGGTTAAAACTGTGCCAGTAATATTAAACACAAAACTTACCCTCTTCAGTTACGATATCTTTAAAAAAATGTAATTTAAATTCACTAATAAACTTTGTTGCAGACAGACCTTGTTTTTTTTTTTTTTTTTGCGCCCGAAGCAATTAAAGGGCTACCCTATACGTAGGGAGGCGGAAAATGCATTACGCATACCACGATAGCCGGTCTATCGTGGTTATGAGGGGCTCACTGTCCTACCGGGGACCCTAAGTGATACCCTCTAAAAACCGCCTTTGGGGACAGGCAACAGGGCTGATTAAGCTCTATTGTGCCTTATCATGAGCGACCCTCTTTTGGGAAAAGAGGGCGCAGGCGGCTAAGTGCCGCTGAGGGAGTGCCTACGAAGGCAAGTTAATGTTAGATATTACAATAATTTTATTTAATTAGAGTTGGACTGAGCTGCCAGGAGACAGTTCAGGTCGTTTGAAAGTTTATTAGGCGGGTCCGAGAGAGAGTTTCTCGGCCTGCGGACACGATAGCGAGAGGGGGGTGGGGCTGCATAAGAAGCTGCCTCACGAATTAAGTGGTTTGGGTGCGATTCTGAGGCTTTGAAGAAGTTCTCAGAGAGTTTTTTAAGAAATTGTTGAATTGTTGGGAGCTCTAAGTCCCGATGAAGGTCGGCATTGCGGACGTACCACGGTGCGTTCGCAGCTCGACGACAGAATAGGTTCTGAACTATTTGGAGTTCATTTAAAATGTTAGGGTTTGCGTGGGCAAAGACGGGGCCCGCGTAGGACATGACTGGTCGTATACATACCTTGTAGAGTGTACGCTTGTTTCGAAGGGACATTTTACTGTGTCGGCCCAACATACTGTTGAGCCTACTCAGATAAAATCGTGCGTGACGAGTTACTCTTTTGACGTGGGGCTTGAAAGTGAGCCCTGTGTCTAGAGTGACACCTAAATATTTGGCGGACGTATGCCAGGGGACAGGGGTCCCTAGCATACGTATTGGTGGAGTGTTTTTGAGACGGCGTCGTTTATAATCGAAGTGGACGGCGGAGCTCTTCTCCGGGTTCACATCGATGCGCCATTTTTTGAACCAAGCTCCTAGGTCATCAACTGACTTTTGGATCTTGTTCCGTATAAGGGGTAGTGAGACACCTTTGCAGTAGATGGCAGTGTCATCTGCAAAGAGGGAGAGTTGAACACCTTTCGACGGGATGGGAATGTCGTTGGTGAATAGGATGTACAGCAGAGGAGCAAGTACTGAGCCCTGAGGGACACCAGCCTTGATAGTTCGCTGTGAAGAGAGCGTGCCTTCGTGTCTGAAACGTAAGGTACGATGTTTTAAATAGGAGGCCACGAGACGAACTAGACGATCGGGGAGACCTATTTTATAGAGCTTGTAGATAAGGCCTGTGTGCCAGACTCTATCGAAAGCTTTGGCTATATCGAAAAAGACCGCGATGGTCTTATGACGACGAGGATAGAAACCGCTGAGGATATATTCCACAATGCGGTGAACTTGTTGGGGACATGAGTGTTTGGCTCGGAAGCCGAATTGATGGGGAATGATAAGAGGGTCGCCGTCTGTGGGAAACAGGTAGCGCCTCATACGACTTTGGATGACTCTTTCGAAGAGCTTGCCCATTGCCTTGAGGAGGCTAATGGGGCGATGGCTGGAGGGGGAGGTTGAGAGGCTTGCCTGGCTTGGGAATTCCAATCACAGTAGCCTCTTTCCACGTAGTGGGAAAATAACTAAGGTTGAAGCAGGCGTTGAAGATAATAGATAAAAAGGTTAACACCTGCTCGGGAAAGTGTTTTAGGGCTTGGTTGGAGATGCCATCCGCGCCCGGAGCCTTTTTAGGCTTAAGTCCTTTGATGAGGGATGAGATCTCATCATTGGACACAGAGATAGGTTCGGAGGCCGTGGGGGGTGAGTTCCGGCGGCGGACCTCATCCTCCACTGCCTGGACGTGTGAGGGGTCGACGGGTTGAGAACTGGGAGAGCATTGAGCGGCAATGCTATCTGCAAAGCACTCAGCCTTTTCCTCGTCCTCGAAGGCAACCGTGCCGTCGGGACGGGAGAGAGGGGGAGTGTGGGTGATAGCGTCTATGCGGAGGGCTCTAGCCATCTGATAGTACGCTGTGTGAGATGGAGAGATATTCTCCATGAGCTTACTCTTTTCGAGGTCTCGAAATACAGAGAGGCGGAAGCGGAGTTCTCGTTGAAGACGATTGGCCGCGCGCCTATATTCGGGGGTGGGATATTTTGCTGTTCTCCGGAAAGCAGCTTTTTTGGCTTTTAATAGGTTGCTAAAATGTAGGGGAAGCCCACTATTGTTAGCAACCGGGACGACCCTTTCGTTCTCCTTAAGGGAGGATTTAATAAGGGTGGAGAGTGAGTCGACCGCGGTGTCGATTTTTTCGGGACTATCTAAGTCCGACGGTAGGGAGATGGTAGAGTCCTGTGAGTCCAAAGCTTTAGCTAGGGACTCCTTGAATCCCTTCCAGTTAGTGAAGGTTTTCGTGTGTGTTGGGGGAGGTGGCTGATGGCCAAGAATGAGGGAGACCGGTCGGTGATCTGATCCTAGATCGTCTAGTGTCTCGATTGCTCCGAGGTTGAGAGAAACTCCTTGGAGTAACGCAAAATCTAACACATCGGGGGCGTGATCGGTGTTATCGGGGGAAGTGAGTAACACCGAGAGGACTATGGACGGTAATATCAAGAGACTGCGTAATATCGAGCAGTATCTTGCCACTAGGGGACGTAGTGCGGCATGTCCATTCAGTATGCTTGGAGTTAAAATCTCCAAACATAATGACTGAATTGCCTAAAGATAAAATGGCCTCAAAATCCTTTTTGAGGGGATAGGTTCCTGAAGGGATGTAACAGGAGGCTATGAGGATGGACTGATGTCCAGTCATAGCTAGCCTGCATACCGTGGCTTCCATGTTGGTAAGCTGCGGAGTAGAAATGGGCGAGCAATGAAGTGTCTTCTTGTAATAGATGGCCGTTCCGCCGCCTCGGCGGTCAGGTCTGTCGTTACGAAGAAGAGAGAAGTTTTTAATAGAAAGGCCTCTAGTGTCCTTAGCTTTGAGATTAGTTTCCTGTAGGAGGAGGAGAGACCTTGTTTTCGCAGACGTGCTAAAATACAAACTGACATTGACAAGTACAGTTTTTTTTTGTTAAATATAGTCTATACATTCCACTGTTTAGCTCCACACGATACCTTCTCTATTTGGATACTCTAACTCTTGTACAGTTGTAAAAAATATTTAATTGTTAGTGAAGTTCTATTCAAAGTTACATTGAAATTCAAAGATACCCAAGTTGATGTAATAAAAATAAAAATAGAATACTTTTTTATTGTCTAGAGTCTTAAAAACCGATTCCTTGGTTTTTACTGACATTTCTTGAATTATTTGTGCAATATCTAAGTACACCCGGCGGCATATTTTTATCAAGAGATTTTTTTTAAATCAACACAACACGTGACAACTCCACAAGCGCTTAGCGAGTGACTGATAAAAGTGCGGTGTATGCACCGCAGTTGAGTGGAACAGAGTAGTGAATGCAGTGTCGCCTCTAGTACGTAGTACATAATAGCTCAATGATCTTAACCGTGAAAATTTGCGCGCTATGATCTATTATGATTTTAAATTTGGTTTAACCGAATAATTAAGTTTACAACGGTTACAATCAGCATTATGCCTCTCACTATCACGCGTCACTCATCACACACCTTTCAGCTCAGCTCCATCACGCGCAACAATTCTTAGGTGGTTTGCTGAATTCAAAAGGGGTAAAATTAACCTTAAATATCACCAAAGAACCAGGCCCCCTAAAACAGCAGTAAGGGCAGAAAATGTATGAACTACTGAAATGTTGGTGCGAGAGGACCCATGCATCACATATACGGACATCGAAAAGATTGTAGTCATTAGTTCGCGGAGCATATTCATACCAGGATGGTATGAATATGCTCCGCGAACTAATCATCCTACATCAACATCTTGGAGTGAGGAAGCTTTGTTGTCGATGGATCCCTCGTTTGCTCTGCGAAAGCGTAAAACAGACTCATGTGGATTGGTGCCATGAAATGCGTCTAAGTTTTGAAAACAGGGCATCTAGGCATATTTCAGAAATCGTTACTGGTGACGAGGCATGGATCTATCAATATGATCCGGAAAATAAAAGGCAATTATCGGTATGGGTCTACTCAGAAGGACAGTTACAGACAAAACTGCAAAGACCTCGCATCGTAGGCAAAAAAATGGTGGCTAGTTTTTTTTCGCGGAGCGGACATTTGTCGACGTCAATGCTGGAAAATCGTAGGTCAGTCAACATTGAATGGTATACTTTTTTTACTTTCTATAAGCCGGTGCTTGATCACAATCCCACCTGGTGGTAAGTGGTGATGCAGGCTTAGATAGTAAATCGCACTGTCTTACCGTAACAAAAGCCTATTCACTCTTGCCTTGAAGATGCCCCGATTGTATTCGGACAGAAAAATAGACGCCGGCAATACTACAGTTGCATTACCCAAAGCTTTTCAAGATGTGCGGGAGAGAAGACCAAAGAATTCCCTTAGAACAAAAGCATTTATTGAGGAATCTGGTGTTGAAACTCTAAGTCATCTACCCTACAGCCCTGACTTAGCTCCTTGTGATCCTTTTTGTTCCCAAGAGTCAAAAAATAAAAGGAAGGTTGTTTTAAAGCGCCGAAGAAGCCGTGACTGTCTACGAAGAAGCGATTTCAGATCAAGACTGGTGAAAGTGTTTTCAGAGTCGGTTTAGGCGTATGCCA